GAAAGGCATTTTGGAGGTCATATCACTGTGTATGTCAAGGAGGAGCCTGTAACAACCAAACTAAAAATCTCATAATGGGACACAGGATAACAAAACCAGCCCCAAAAGTAATTTAGTCCTCGGGGCATACTATTTTTCCTCCAGCCAAAATACTTAGATTTATATTTAGATAGAGAATATAATATGTAGCACAGCCAAAGAAATAGTGTTATAGTAATGGGTAACTTCAAATACCCTGGACCAAAAATCAAAAGGTACCAAATCCTGTCTGTTCTCAGAAGCTAAGCAAGATCAGGCCTGGTTAGTACCTGGAAGGGAGACTGCCATGTAATGACATGTGCTGTAGTCTATATTCCAAGGAAAGCAATGGCAAACCATCTCTGAGTACGCCTTGACTAATAAAACCATGTGGACTTCATGCACAAAGTTGACAAATGACCTGAAAGTATACACTCCTCCTGCTCCTCCTTCTCCTCTCTCTGCTTTTTTCTCATTGCTCATTGACTGGATATGTGTGCTATCCAATCATAACAAATTTAAAATCTTTAAATGTGAGTGCCTAAGAAGAGGCAGAAGGAACACAATTCAATCTAATTCTATGTTATTCCTAGAACCAAGTGTAGGATATGAGTGTTGTTGATCAAACCTGAAACAGTGACTTCAGTGCTGTCAAATATGATGTATGTGTAAGTAGGAAAGTGACTGTACATCTAGAGTTGGGAAGTGGTGAGGGAGACTGTCGGGATTGTTGGACAACAACAGAATTAAAGGGGTGCTAAAGGAGGATAAGGAGATTGCAGGGAAATGAAATGATTCCTCTAGCCCCATTTGTCTTTGTTGTAGATTATGTAGAGCAGGTGGTCCACATTTGCTGGGGTTAGGGGTGAAGGACATTCCCCCCCCCCGAATGTGGTAAAACTGCAAATAAAAAACACTATTCTTTTTACCTGAGAGAACACCTCTCTAGGAATCTCCAGATCCTCCAGTGCAATTCTATGGTCAACATCTGCCATAAGTTGACCATAGAATCAAGCTGGAGGACCTACAAATGCCTAGAAAAGTGTTTTCTCTAGGAACATCTAGGTTCTCCAGCACAACTCTATGGTCAACTTCTGGCAGAGTTGCGCTGGAAAACCTAGAGATTCCTAGAGAGAACATATTAATCAAATCTGCAAATAATCAAATCTGAAAGTCAAAGTCGCAAATGTGGAGGGCCAACTGTAATATTTTCAGAAAAGCAGTCTGAGGGGCTAAGGCAAATAGAGGGGACAAGAGATTAAGTATCTCACTGACACAGTAAAAACAAATAAATTGCAGGGTCTCAGATAGCATCCCCTTCTAACAGAAAGATGCAATGTGTCTCTAAAATTATATGTCTCTAATTCAGAGAACTGAAAAGAGGCCACTGTAACGTTAAGGAATAAAGGCAAGGAAGGAAAAACAGAAGACTGAAGTTAGTCCTCATTGTTTCTGAGTACAGCTACTAGATGTGCAAGAACCCACTTCTATTTTGCGTTCAGCCATTCTTCTTCCGGTCAACCCCAGTTTCTCACTTGGGTCTAAGACTCACCTATCCTACACCTAAGAAGTTCTTAATTAATAAAACAGGGGATCACAATTTTTCACATATTTTCCCATTTGGAAGCCTTGTGAATGCAGCAAACTAGAGCAAAAAAAACCTGAGAATCCAATTCCTAAAGTGTTCACTCATGTAAACAAAACCTCTATTTCAGACTGAAGCATCTATTTAAAAGCCTCTCTCCTCACATCTTTCCCCTCCTCTCTTCGAAGGGAGAGAGCAGCAAATTATTGATTTGGAAAGGCCAGGCTGAAGGTGTAATCACAAAGCATTTCGCCTGGGGATAATAGTGAAGTAACAAATAGCACACAAACTCCCACTTAATGTTTCACTTAAAAGCTAAATGGGCTCCAAGCATGGCAGCCTCACACTGAAGAATGCTGCATCTCAATTCAGCTTCTGCCCTTTTGGTTATTGCCAAGAAATGTTAACAAGAGGAAGCACTGCTTGGCCTACATGAGGCAATCTGTAGAAACCATCCCCGTTTCCAGAACTTGTATACTGTACAGCCTTCACATATCAAGGACTCTTTTCTGAGTTGCATAAGAAATTAATGTGGGACCAATATGATTTCTACATAACCAGGAACCCCCCTCAACACTCTAGCCATTTTGCATACTTGGTATACCTAGGATCCTAAGTTTCCATCTGCTCCTGGAGAAAATAATCAGGCACAAAATTTTTGCATTTAAAACCCAAACAATGGTTGTCATGCAAGAAACAGCAGCACCCTCACCAAATGGTGGGAAAGAGGCACACAGATTTGAAGACAAATAGCCATGAACTGTCACGGACAGCATAAATCTTACCCTTCTGCTTGTGCACCTTCCTCAAACATTTCCAAAAACTCTCTTGGCTGGAGCTTTGAATTCTTTGCAGTGGAAATATCAACCCAAGGAGGGCTCCCATAGCCTAGCACTGCCTGTTAGAAATGATTCACACAACCCCTCCTGAGCTGGACATGTCACGTTGTCTGGTGACAAAAGAGCCCAGCATGGTCAAGAACATAATGCCAAACTGTATGTGATTTTCAAAACAGGAGAGATGAAGGGGGGCACATATTACCTGCACCACACACAAAAATGAAAAGAGAAAGTCCCTTCATGTTGAAATTCTCCACCAAGGATGGCTTGTGAAATCTGGGCCTTGGCTCAAGCATTCAGCTTGTGACTCATCAGACTAAATGCCACCCTCTTAGGGCTCAAGAAGCTTTCTGGTTTTGCTACATGGAAAAATAGGTAGCGATGGTGTGGATGTTTTTATTATGGAGAAACGTGGACAAGTTGAAGAGCTCAACTTCATAGAAATCTGAGCTTTTATTATGTTTCATTTTGTTCTCTCATTTCATTTTGTTTTTAAACAAGCAAATTTCTCCTGCTCATTTATTTCTGTGTTTATGAAGATATGTATCAAAGGCATCACTCATTTGCTGCTAGGTAAGATTTACAATGGTCAGAAGCATGGAGTTTCAATATCTTTCACAAGCTGTTTTCCATGATTCGTAGAATTATGGAAAATCAGAGAAATTATGCATGCACCTGAGTGTTACTTGCATAATTTATATAAACGGCAGAATTCAACTTTTTTAAAAAAAATAATGAATAAATCCAAAATCATTAGCTTCTAGCTCTCTGCTGACTGCTTTCATAAAAAGTGTGGTCAAGCAGATATTAGGTTGTTGTTTTTATATGCCTTCAAGTCATTTCCAGCTTATGATGATCCTACGGCACAGGGTTTTCTGGGGCTGAGAGAGTGTGTGACTCGCCCATGATTACCCAGTGAGTTTCCATGGCCAAGCAGGGAATTGAACCTTGGTCTCCAGAGTCAGAGCCCAAAGCTCAAACCACTACACTATGCTGGCTGATATAAACATTCACAGCTATTTATAGACACAAACCACAACCACAACACAGTGAAGACACCAGTCTGAAAAGGAAAAATCTAGCTGAGCACAACCGCAGGCTTAACCATGGCATGTAAGATTCACTCCCCCTTTTTTACGGCACCTTACTGTTTTGTATGCATCGCATCGCATAGGTCAAGTCCCTGAAGATGCTTCCCTCCACTCTGGCTTGCCCCTGGGAGCAAACAAAGATGCCACCCTTTCCATCTCTGAAAAGGCACTTCCGAATGAGACATCCTTGTACTGCACTGGCAAGCGATTGAGCCTCCTTGTCTTTCTGCAGCTCCTGAGGCAGGGTTTTTAGTTCATAGTCGCTTTGGAGGGCTGTTAACCCACTGTTTTGTAGCCTGCCATGAATAACTTTGGCCAGCATATGGCTCAAGCTGTGGGCCTGGTAAGGCAGTTTATACACTGACTCATCGTCATCCTCATTCTCGCTGCTTAAGCTCAATTCGCTGTCACTAGAATCTGTGTCTATAGTCACAGCCTCCTCTTTGTGTGCTGTGCTCAGATTTCCTGCGACGTCGTTCTCCTTCTCACACCCTTTCTTTGGTATTCCTTGGGTCTGTGAAGCAGGGAATATATTACCCAGGTCCTCACCCACCACAATTTCACAGGTCCTTGCATTTCTCATTGGCAGATGTCCCTGACTTTCAAATTTTGACAGGTTACAAAATGGTGGCTCTGGAGTTTGCAGCAACACAGAGCGTGACTTTGCCAACATGGTCAAGTGCTTGCAGGCCCAGTTCCTGTCCAAAGATGGACAACCTTCTACCGTCACAGAGGCATTTTCACTCCCAACAAACTCACAATTTTCCAGGAGACAGATGGCCACACTGTGGAAATTGATGCTGGACTGGCTGAAAGTGCAGAATTTGACCTGGCAGGTTCCTGGAGCGTGAATTTGCAGCTGACTGTTCTCAAAGTTGCAATTGTCAAACTGGACGTGACCTGAGGTTGTCTAAAGAGAAACAATACAACTAGATCAACCCATTTTGCAGCAGTAAACATATCAAGATATATTAAGAAGATTCATTTCCGCAAAGGAACAAGAGAACCTGGCCTCAAACAGAAACTGGTTGTCCTAGTTCACTCTTCTTCTACCTACACTGAGGGAGGCAGGGTGCATGTACCTCACCAAACTATGTACCTGGGACAACCTGAAATTAAAATAATTGTATTCTTGGGGATAGAGCAGCAATCTCCCACTTGGTCTTTGCCAAAGGCACTGGTCTGTAACTTCCACAAAGCAACATACTGACTGGAGATGATGGTGGCTGCAGTACAACATTCTTGGTGTTGTACAAGAGAACCTATGACTGGATTGCCCCTTTTGCTTTAAATCTCTCCATCTCCCACTCCACTACGCTTAACAAAAAAAAACCAAAAAAACAACAACACCATTTTGTGACATAAACTAATTCTCAAATGCATTCACACTCACCTTATAGACAACAGGTGTGAACCAAGCTGGCATGAAGACCAAATTGCACAACCTCATGGTCGGGCAATGCTGGTCAAAGCTCACCAGGAGGGCCACATCACCCAGCTTGCCTTTCCCCATTATTTCAACTGGGGCCTTGAGGAAAATCTCACTCTGTTCCTCGTACACTCCTGGCAAGAGCACAATTCTGTCATAAACACTTGCCGAGAGCAAGGCACTCCTTAGGTTGTCAAACTCACAACCAGGCCCCACGCAGAGGACCCGGCGATCCTTTTTCCTCCTGAACAAGTAGAAGCAGTTGGAGGATTCAAGATCTTGGCTGTTTTTGGTCCAGGTTTTTGAGGCTAGATAATGTTGCTTGAAGGCTTCTCTCCACGACCAAGGTTCAACATCTGGCTGGTTGGGCCAGTTTGGGTGACGGCACTCGATGCAACCGAGGCACAGCTGCCGCCACCGGGTGTTGTCCAGGCTGAGGATGAGTTCGTACCAAGCCCTGCACACCAGGCTGCAGCGGCCAAGGTCAGGAAGGCGCAAATAGGACAGTATCAGGCGCCAGAGCTCCAGTGGGAGGCCGCTGATCTCCATAGTCACCTGTACATGTTGGGAGACAGAGAGAGGCATTTTAAAAAAGGACACCAGCCTTCTGCTGTATATTCTCTGGTTTTAACAAAAAACACACTCCACTTTTGTTTCTTGTTTAACCAGTCAGACAGAGATGAAGAGAATGCACCCTTTTCCTCTTCTCCTCCTCCACAATCTCTATTCTTTTTGTCAATTCAGTATCAAAAAGCAGGTAGGGAAAAGGAAAGAAGAGGGTGAACTCAGAGAACATTTATAAGGGGGAAAAGAGGGGGATGACAAATGGGAATTATACTTGAATTTTCAACATAACCTTGTAACCATCTTTTGAATAACAGTTGACCTTCTGTATCCACGGATTCTTTATTAGGAGATTCAACCATCTACAGCTTCAAAATATTTTAAAATATATATAAATTCCAAAAAGCAAAGCCTGGTTTTGCCATTTTATATGAGGGACACCATTTTACTATGCCACTGTATTT